CTCTCTCTCTCTCTCTCTCTCTCTCTCTCTCTCTCTCTCTCTCTCTCACACACACACACACACACACACACACACCTCTTCACACGGCAAGGGCAAGGCAAGGGCTTCCCTTTCAACATAAAATGTTATACATACTCTCTCTACATTGCACAACAATAAGGAAAGTCAGAGTAGAACTTGTCATTTTGAACACGTAGAGAAAACCTTTGTTTGAACCGAGTCATGCAACCAGGGTCCCACACGTGTTTTGAGCCCTGGTTGCATGAACACGTCCAGAAACTCCTATTCCCATATTGATCGGAGTTGAAACAAAAGGTGACATACTTAGCTGACCACATTAGTAGCAGTAGTCAGTATTTTTTTGCTCTCTTAAAACAAGAAAACATCAACATTGGAAACCCAAATTCAATGCCTAACTTCATCAATATATAATAATCATAAATCAGTTTGAGTTATCGTTGATTACATGTGCTCACATAGACCTGTGCTGCTGTTTATCGATAGCAAAGTTAGGAGTTACCAACCAAGCGTATGTTTATGGTCAGGGTACACCCTGCTGCCCTGTGCCTGTGGACCTGCCCCTCCCTTTTAAAGCTTGGAATAAATGTAATATAATCTAAACATAAAAGCGGCGATGCAGCAAAGTCACCTGCTAGATTATGTTTGTGTCGTCTGAGGCATTGATCGCACACTTGGAACTGTACAAATGCCTCCATACTTGACCAGTTTACAGACAAAACAGCGAACACGTTTAAAACTAAAACAGTTGTAGCTGCTAATTTATTCATAAATGTTTAGTTTGAGTTTCCATCTCTTGTTGAAATTGTTCATTTCGGCAGTTTTTCAGCGAAACAATACCTATTGAGTGTTATCCAAAACAACAATGATGGTGTTTATTGTTGTACAACTTACCCATAGTAAACAAGTTAATACATATTTTAGTAGTAGGATATCAGTAGAGAACCGGTGAGTGCTGGAGCAGTAAAACATGACTAACATTAAGTGTTATCTTAGCTTAGATTGCACTTCATTTGTACGGACTGATTTCACGTGCTTCAACAAAGATACTAGACGTGAAAATGGGTGCTTGCGTGTATTATTATCCTCTAAAAGGTCACTGGATACACAACAGCAACGTTAGCTATATCGCTACATAGTTAACACTAACTTTTACTTATTTAAATGAATAGGATCTGTGGCCGTGTGTGGCTTTGTGTGCTTGTTTAAATGTAATGTTACATCGTTAAAAATACCACTACACTGCCATGCTAACATAGCTAACCATTGACACCCATAATGACAAAGTCCGCTAAGCTGTCATTAGCTAGTTACATGCTAGTGTAGCTAGATTAGCTCACAAGGGACCCGGCTAAGCACTGGAGGCCAACGTGTCGTTAAAGAGTTACTTTAAATGTGATTTATTCACAATTAACTTGGCTAACGTTGGCGGTAATGTTAGTCAAGATAATGTGAAACTTCAGACGATGGCTCGTGGTTATATTTAGACAATGGTCTGTTTGAACACTGAGGTTATTGCACAACACAATTCATGTTGAATGTACCGACTAATAATATTTTTTGGGAATGCGTTTCTCTGTTAAATACCGATCCACTGACCACATGCTGAACTCCAGTCCACTAAACACTGCTCCCTCGACGCAAAGGCCTAGTGTGTTGATATGAGCTAATGTTAGCCAAGTTGCTAATGTTAGCTTCACAGTTAGCTAGCTTGTCAAACTCAAGCTAACGATGTTAGCGAACATACTAGCATGCTAATGACGTTAGCTCGTATACTAGCATGCTACTTACGTTTTCCTGCTGTCGCGAATGTTGATCCAATCTTGATTATCTGCTGGATTCTGCTTTTTGTGTGAAGATGTGTGTCGGTAACCTAGCTATCTACGGAGCTAACGTTAGCTAGCTTAGCTGTGTTATGTTTCCTTATTTGACACAAAAATAATAATCGAGATTTGGCCTCAGATGAGCGGCGATAATTCCTCTCTCGGTGGTTCCCTGCTTGGACAGCGTTGATTTTTACGCATGTTTGACGCCCGTTTCTGTCTCACATAAAAATGAAGACTAATTCCGACCGTTCCTAAGCAGATACGGACACGGAGAATTGTGTTATATTATACAACACTGACAAAATCTAGCACTTTCTTCAATTGAAAGCCAAAGCTATCCTTCGACTTTGGGTGCTGAACAAGAGGAGGTGTTATTTTTGGCATATGCTCGGTGATTGGTTACAACGTCAGGGGCGAAACGTCGGCTGATTGGCTGCTTCTCCTGTCAATCAGCGTTGCCCCTGAACAATACTACATTCTCATTGGTCTATAGCCGAAGTTCTATGACGCAGTGGATCTGTGGAGATGCGCTCGTAACTCATTTTGGCGTACGCCGAAAGAAAAGCGGGCGGTGTTTGTCGTGAAGTAAAAGAAGTTCTGGGAGTCGATTGACCGCAACCTGACGTCCGAGACTGAACATGTAAATGAAATCAAAGGTGGCATAATTACGATTTAAATACTACAGTATCCATATCCTCTATATATTTGGAAGTCACCGCACACGAGTGCCCCGGAGTTTAATAACAAGCGCAACCTGATTCAAGTACAGCAGGGACGCTTGAAGGGGTTTCAGTTGGAGCCTCCAACAGAAGGAATGATTGTACCATCTTACTGTAATTCACTAGAAATGAATCTATTTTTAAGAAATTACACTTAAATATAAGGCCTCACTCATTTCCTGTAGCCTATATTTTGTTTAGGCAGTCACATATTTCAAAACTAAATCAAATAGGACCAAAATATCATCATAGTAGGAGAATGAAATTGTATCAAATAGAAACTATGATGATAAGGAAGTTGAGAAACAGAAGGATAAATTTTACTGTTGAGGCCGATATGTCATAAATTAACTAAATACAACCACATCAATGCTAATGTCAAAACAATATGCTGCTGCTGTATGTATTTATTGTACTGTATGAAAATGTCTTCTTTATATTATTTTTTATTGTTTATCATTGTTTTCAACTTGCACCTACACCTTGTCCACGACGTTTCTGAGGTTTTGGGGCATTTTATACCTCTATTATTGAGTCAACAGCAGAGCGATGGCTTAAAAAGGCCTCAGTATGATTCAAACCGACATGTCAGATCATAACAGCGTCAGAAAGCTCTCATTCAACTTCAGAATATAGTTAGGAAGTGGGAGGAGCTCTGTTAGGAGTCCCTCTTTCTGGAAAGGTAAACTCCCATTCATTGTCTCCATAGACAATGTTACATGACTCACAGTTGGAGCACTTTTATGCCTTGGATGGGCACGAAACGCTCAAAACACAATTATTGATCTTTGAGGAAAAGTTAAAGGCACAAGCTCGTAAACATTAAAATGTGAGGTGAAACGTTACAGCTCCTGATGGGCATTTGTCCAAGAAAAAAACTAACAATACAATCTGCATCTTGAATAAAAAACTATTGAGTTGTGTCTTGTTCACAACTGCAACAACGAAGCACTACAACTCTGTTCACTGCTCACAAAAACCAAGAGGCTCACATATGTTGAAGTATTTTGAGTTGTCCGTCAAACACAAACTGAGAAACAGTTGAAAAAATTACACTCAATTAATTCAAAATGGGGGAAAAAATACTCTCATGGAGTTTGAGCTTCTCTTTCAAGCTTTGTTTTTTTTAATTCTTCACATGACAACCGCACCGTAACACCATGAATGCATTCTCACAATTCATTGTGTTCGAGGAGGAGGCTTCAAATGAGGCCTTTCAGAATGGGAATAAACACTCAAGCGGTCAGGCAGCTTCTTTTCAATTACACTGAACCTTTTGCTCTGCAGTATACTTATATATTAAAGAGTATTAATAAAGATATTTCATTCAACGTGCAAATAAATAAAATGTAGGCCGGAGTGAATGAAACTGGGATGGGTATAGATTAAAGCATAAACGTGAGTATATGAGTGTGTGTGTAAAGATGTTTAGTTAGATAGTGGATCAGTGGATCAGAGTTATGTTGTGTGTGTGTGTGTGTGTGTGTGTGTGTGTGTGTGT